TGAATTAAGAAGCCAGTATCACCATTCCATTTCTCCCAACTAGTAGAAAAAGAAGCTCAAACTCACCGGATATAGTGTATCTTTAAAGTGGAGCCTTTATAACTCATTGCGACTGAGCCAAACATCATTTCCCCTAGCATGTTGACATCAGAAGCTGGTCTTGTGTACTGCCACATAGGAAAGAGACCAAAACCAAAGTTACTATGTGGCACAACGTGATGTGTAATGCAACAGAAAATAACGCTTATTTATCTATGGGTCCGTCTTTAGTGTAGCAGGTAACTAAAATTCAAAGCAGAAACTGATCATCTTAATCTATAATGGTGATTGGCTATTTTTTCCCCCAGATTATTACTTGTGTTCATGATTTCATCTTTATGCACAATATCTCCATACAGGATCGCAGTGCCTCAGCAGGGATCATTCTTAATCTTGTTAGGAAAGGCAAAGATTTTTCATTATCTCCATTTATAAACTCTACAGAGAAAGATTAAGTTCTGAAAAAAAAAAACAGGGTAACTCTTCTCTTGGTACCAAAAATACATCCTGAAAAGAAACACAGTTCAGTACTATTCACCTAAATAATTAACAGTGTTGAATGAAAATGCCAGTTGGCTCAGGGAGAGTCTTTGTGAGGGTCCAAAAGGTAACAGACGGTCTGATACCTTGAAAGTTTTACCAAAAAATATTTCAAAAATATTTGACCTCTCTAGCTTCTGACCAGTTTTTCTTGTCCCTTCGGTCATCCACAAGGGTAGGCCTGAGCTACCTCCAACTTTCCCAAGTCTCATTTGCTTAACCTACTGCAGCCTCATCTACTCAAACTGCCCTAGTGATACAGCTCCTGCCTTCTAGTCAAATCCAGTACACTTTCCAGTTTGCTTTCTTAAACATCTCTCCCGATAGCTGCTGCTTTTATCTACTCTCCTATTTGAATCTCTTCTTTCTTAGATCATCCCTTGAACAGGGCTGTTCCTCAGAGGGCACTCCTAGTCACCGTCCACACTCTGAACCACTCTTGGGATTCTGGTTATTCTTTACATAGGAATACCTCCCACATCTTTATCTCTAGGCCTAGACCTCTCCCTGAACTCTAGAATCCTATATCCAAACACATTCATTCACATATCATAACAATGTATTATTACATATCATATATGTCATATGTAATATGTATATTATCACATATGTATAATGGTAACGTATTATTAGGATATGCTGCAGGCACCCCAGCACAGCCCGACCAAGACAAAACAACCGTCTCTCTGACCCAGCCCAGCCAGCGCCAGATTCTCTGCTAGTATGCTTTCCACCCAAGCAAAAACATGGGAATTGTTCTTAACTTTCTCTTCTCAGTCTTTTTTTTAAACTCCAAATCCACACACACACACACACACACACACACCTGCTACCAGCCCCGTATTCCTCACACGCAAGTTACATCTTGCCCTTTCTTTCTTCTCCTAAACACGGTTCTCTTCCTCCAACTGGCATGTGCTATTTTCTTGGGATGCCCATATACGTCCTCAGAATCCTTGAAATTCTTAAAACAAAACTGGAAAACCCGTGCTTTTTCATCAGGTTCAGGCAACGAAGGAAGCAAAACCGAAGGGTTTACCTCGTTTGCAATATTTCTTCCTCACTCAGTATGTATTATACTGGGTCACCTCGCTTTAATTACAGTTTTTACCAAGAGACAAAAGCCGAAGTGTGAAAACAGCACGGACATGAAACATTTAAGAGCACATCTTCGAATACATAAGCTCATGTTCCTAGAGCAGGAGCCTCAAGCAAGTATCCTTCCTTGTGGAGAAATTACAGTAAATGGCTTCAGTCCCCGGGGCCGCGGGACATGGCAGGGACGGTTTTACCTGGTACTTCGGGAGCTGCTCCTTGGCGTGCTGCAAAGATCCCCCGGAAGAGCTCTGGGGTGAGACGCTGCTGCTGCCGCCACTGCCCTGACAGCCCTTGGCTGCCAGTTTAATAGGGGCATCCTCTGTTTTCTGGGGAGACAGACAGGCAAGGTAAGCACTGCTAAGTGCGGCGGGCTCCTGCAGCATGCTCTTCACTGGGCATTTCTTTGTTAAATCACTCTGTTATGTTGTGCGTCAGTTGCACGGAAAACCAGAGGCTTTCTTTAATAGGGGCATCCTCTGTTTTCTGGGGAGACAGACAGGCAAGGTAAGCACTGCTAAGTGCGGCGGGCTCCTGCAGCATGCTCTTCACTGGGCATTTCTTTGTTAAATCACTCTGTTATGTTGTGCGTCAGTTGCACGGAAAACCAGAAGCTTTCTTCCCCTTCTTGCTGAGGACAAAAAATGCGCTTCCCGGGAGCCTACAGTATCTGGGAAGGAGGCACGCGGAAGAAAGGTAACTGGACAGAAGACGGGGGTTATGTAGTGTGAATATTCTCAAGTAATTCAACTGCTATTTATGTTTCAATTCCTGTCTTGAAAACGTCAGTGAGATCTGATCTCTGGGTTATTAATGAATCTGTTAGTACTGTGGAGAGTCATAATCTATAAATACTGACGTGGAGAAAGAAATTGCTTCAAATTTAAAATTTTACCAGGCAAATGGAACTAAGTAAAGCAAAATTACTAATTTGGAAAGTCTGAGTTTGTATTTTTAATGACACACCTTCTCTAGCACTCCTTTAAAGGTAACAGGAGAGAAAATCATGAGGTTGAATTTGTGAAAGATGAACCAAAACTCTGAAATAGGAGCTCCTGTGAATTATACATCATGTGATGGAAAAAGTAACCTCTAAAGGTTAGGGGTAATAGAAGATTATCTACTATATATTCCCTAAATAGAGTTATGACAGTGACATAAAGGTATAAAGATACCCCTTTACTAATTTTGCCCTTCCTCCTACACCGAAATATATTACTCCCTACAGAAGCATCCTATGCCACCTATGACAAGTTGTTTCTATTCTGTCGGAGTCTTACTTGTTTTTCTGTGGGCAGCTTTTTCTTGGAAAAACATGAATGCAACTGCAGCTTATCTACTCTCCAATGTGACAGTCACATTGGTGGTCTAATGCAAATGCCTGCAGTCATGTGCTTGATACAAACTCATGAGGTCTTGTGCTTGCCAAGGGAGTGGGGGGCTGAAAATGGGAAAAGAATGTAAGGAAAACACACACTGCGCTGGTCCGTAAAAGCCACCCCCGCAGCGATGGCATTCAAAGTCATACTTGGTCATTCCCGGGTATCGGGCACTCCTTCAACACCCTCTTCAGCTCTAGCTGTTACTTAATACCACTTAAACCAGAAACACAGCCTCTCAGAGAGCCTAAAGTGACACTAAGTCCGCACCTGCCTCACGGACTGCTCGACCCTCTGGCTGGGGTACAACATACTGAGCAGTCTATAACTGGAGCTAATACCTGGTACGTGAATAGAGCACTCTTTTTGGGGGGGGGGGCTCTTTTTGTAGCCTTGGGCAAGTTATAACCTCTCTGGACCTAGCTGCCTTCTCGATTAAATGAGTACTTCCAGACTCCAGTGTTATCACTGCTCTCATATCGATATGCCAAAATTCCAGTTCCTTTTGAAAACCAGTGAGAATTTTTCTCCACCTGTTACCACCAAGAGGAGCCCTAGCGATGGCATGCAGGTGTCCCACTAAACTACCTGTGAGAGGCCTGCAGGGAAACAGGAAACGATGTGGGAAATCAAGGGGACCATGTCCTGTTCACCAAAGGGTCAAGTGCCGGCTCACCTCAACTTTGATACAAATCTACCATTAAAGCCTACAGGTGAATCACTTGAGAGATCCCTCCCCCACCCCCAACCTAACAAGCCCAACAACTACTGTAATGATTAGCTACCTGGCAGACTTCCACTTTAAAGCACTATGGAATCTACTCAGCCAAACTGCCTTTAACCAAATACTTCCTTCCTGCAGAAATGATCTTTATCAAAAGCAGGAAAAGAGCCCCTTGGCCCTGATGAAACAAAGACCGTGAAATAAACTATTCATTTACTTAGCTACACATTCTATGAACTGCCAGAATTTGGTCAGTATAGATAGCAAGGTATTGAACATGAAAAGAATGAAAAGTCTAAAGGCGACAACTTAAAGACGTACCCTGGGTTGACGTCCAGAAGACTCAGGGAGGACTGGACCCAGACACATGACCTTATACCTTTCCTGTTCTGGCTCTAAGGGATCAAGGGCTGTTATGTCCTCACTTTACCCATCCCAGATCTCCCACGCCCCACCCCAGAACACCATCACCACCACTCTGCTCTCCACTAAAAATGGGAAATAAATAAAGCTGCCTTGGTCAGATGGGTTTGAGAAGCACTCCCTTTTGAAGATGAAAGTGTATGTTAGCATACTGAAGTCCTATGGTAAGGAAAGCTATTTAATTTTGTTTAACCTAGTGCAACGTAATACCTCTTGGTATCTATGTGAAATACTAGACAGAATGATCTATTAATTTCCCTTCAGGCTAACGCTTTATGAATTTTAGAGTTCTCAGTTTTCCTATTACACAGCACATGTTTGGCATCCAAATACTACTGAATTGCAACTCACCAGCAAATTTACCTCTAGTAATACTTATAGTACAGTACTGAGCATCTGTCATGATTCCTTGCTAACAGTTTCACCTCTGTATATTAATAGAGTACAAATGCAGCAGGGTGGGGTGGCGGAGAGCCTTTCTGTTTCTTCTGAACCATTAATGATACTATACAATACAGCCCAAAGAGAAGATTATGAATTAATAAACGATTGCTCAGAGGGGTGGCTAACAGCACAAATAAAAAAAGATGAAAGCAAACCTGCATTTCATACCTGGGTTGCCACCTCCTCAGTCTTGTGAACCGCTTTAGAATCAAACAAGACTTGTCTGCCTCTCCTTTCGCAGTCCTGGTAAACTATCAGGCGGATCTCATTCAAGTCCAGCTCTGAACATGACCAACTGTGGATTAAACAGGAAGAAAAGGTTACGTTATCCACAAGACTTGGAATGATCGTGGAGAGCTAGGTTTCCGAGCCAGTGCACCTATGTGCAGCAGAAGGCCACAATGGCGCAGAGATGATGACCCCGTCACACCCTCACACCCGGGGACAGACAGCCTCGTCTGTGGGCTCAAATGGGCCATACAAGTGTCGCCAAATGTCCACGACAAAGGTTGGGAAGATCTCCTTCCAAAGCCACTCTGGCAAAGACAGCCACCAAAAATCACAAGGATGTGTAGAGAAAGCTAAATTTGGATGCCTGCATTCTGGGATGGCACACCTGATGTACAGGAGTGTTCAAGCTTCTGCGTTACTGGCCAGGGAACCATTTGGAGCAAGCGAGCGGGGCCTTCTTTCTTCCTCTTCCACCCACCCAGGCTCAGGTTAAATGGAATGGAATGACATCCTAAAATTTAGAATTTTCCTCTATTATAGCTGGCTCTGATAAAGAAGTTTTGAAAACCAAGTGCAGGGGCACCTGGGTGGCTCAGCTGGTTAAGCGTCCCCCTTTGGCTCAGGTCATGACCTCAGGGTCCTGGGATGGAGTCCTTCATCGGGCTCCCTGCTCAGCGGGGTGTCTGCTTCTCCCTCTACCCCTCCCCGCTGCTCATGCTCTCTCTCTCTCAAATAAATAAATAAAATCTTAAAAAAAAAAATTAAGTGCATCACTGCAGAGAATCTGAATTGCTAACAATAACAATCAGCAATAAAGGAAGCATGGCTTATTCCTGTTAAAAAGAAAACCACAGGCCCAAAATGGTGTCACTTAAGCCAAGTCACCAAACCAGGACTTAACACCTAACTTAACTACAGTTTCAACCTTCCCTAGAAATACAGTATTAACCAGTCAGGAATTTGCTGACCAACGTGAGCTAATCTGTCACCTGGGCCTTCTCCAGGCCTAAAGAAGATGAGGTAATGTGCATGATAAGACCCTTGTCCTTCCCCCTGAGGGAAAATGACCTAGCCTGAAACAATCCTTGCTCCATCCTCCTTCCTGTAAAAACCGTCCATTCTGTACAACTCCTCAGAGCACCCCTCTACTTGCTGGATGAGATGCCGCCCCACTCATGAATTGAGTAAGAGAGCTAATTAGAACTTCAAATGTACTTGGTTAAATTTTTGTCCTTTAACATTCCTAAGTAAACCAAAAGTTGCTGGGATAAAACTGCTCTAAACCTAAGTTTGTTCTTGAGTAATAAATGAAATGAGAATGAGAGAACTATAAAAAGGGTAATCATTTAAAATGCACTGCTTTGGGGCACCTGGCTGGCTCAGGTGGTAGAGCCTGTGACTCTTGATCTCCAGGTCTTGAGTTCACGCCCCATGATGGGCACAGAGCTTACTTTTAAAAAATTTAAAAAATGAATAAATATAAAACACACTGCTTTGGATATTTTCAGTTATCAATCTGTTGATCCATTCAACACATATTTGCGTGCCTACTATGATTCAGGCACTGCAGTCCTGATGCTAGATATTCAGCAGTTAACTAAACAGACCTGGTCCCTGTCCTCATAGAGAACGTGGTTTAGTGGGGAATACTGGGCTAATAATGATATGAATATGTAATTACAGACTGTCCTAAGTGCAGAAAGGAAAAGTAAAGGAGTCTCATATTTTCAGATCTGAGGAGCAGGGAAGTCCCTAAAGATTTAAGGAAGTGAAGCAGGCATCTGGCTGGTTCAGTTGGTAGAACATGTGACTCTTGATCTTGGGGTCTTGAGTTCAAGCCGCATGTTGGGTGTAGAGCTTAATAAGAAAGCAAAAAAAAAAAAACACACGGAAAACAGAGGATTTAAGGAAGTAACATTTAAACAGGGCTTAAAGAAGTAAGAGTTAAAGAAATAAAGTGTGAGGGGCGCCTGGGTGGCTCAGTCAGTTAAACATCTGCCTTTGGCTCAGGTCATGATCCCAGGGTCCTGGGATAGAGCCCTGGACTGGGCTCCCTGCACAGTGGGGAGCCTGCTTCTCCCTCTGCCCCTCCTCCCTGCTCATGCTCTCTCTCTTTAATAAATAAAAAAAATCTTTAAAAAGAAAGAAAGAAAGAAAGAAAGAAAGAAAGAAAGAAAGAAAGAAAGAAAGAAAGAAAGAATGAAGAACAGGATAGGAAGAGGGAAGGGCATGCTAAGATGTAGAAGAGAAAGGAGGGAAAAAAAAAAAAAAAGGCCAGAGAAAAAGAGCTCAAGAGGTAGGCTGGGAAGACAGGAAGGAGCCAAGATCATACCCTAAGTGCAACGGGAAGTCAAGATGAACAAAGACTGATAAACTCAGGTCTATACTTTTTTTAAAAATTCAACCTGTCTCTTCTAAGGAAAACAGGGGTGGGGGAGAGAGAAAGACTGGAAGCAAGAAGACCAGATAGAATTTCTTAACAGAGTTCAGGCTCTTCGTCAGGAAGGTGAGAGGGACAGCAACTGAGGTAGAGGAAAGCAAACAGATCCTGGAGGTGGGTTCAAGAGGGGGCAGAACCGCTAAGACTTAGGGGTGGGACGCAGGGGTGATGCAGGCAAAAGGAGTGCTATCTGCCTACAGAAAGCTGGGGAAGGAGGAAGAGCTCCCCAGATATGGATGAGAGAAAGTTAGGGAGACGGACTAACAAAAGCAAACTGTAATATGTAGTATTAAGATCATCAACTACAGGGAAGTCAGATACATCTGGATTCCATTTTTTCATCAGCACAATGAGAATATTAATGCCAACCTCACAAAGCTGCAGTGGGAATTAAATATGTAAAGTGTTTCACATAGAGGCTGACATGTGGTAAGGGCTCCAAAATGTTACTAATTACTTAAGAGAATTGTTAATGGTACAATTTAAAAAAACAAAACAAAACAAAAAACTGATACAGTGTCTGGTACCCAACCACAAGTTGTGCATTACTGGCTCTTTCTTTTTTCAGGCAGTGGTAGTTAATATTGAATATATTCTTTCAAGTTAGCAGATTAGTTTTCTTAAATCCCAGCCCCAAAAAATAGAAAGTTCTGGCTGTACCTTCTTATAACAACCTATGTTCTAAACTACCAGGTCCGGCAACCCTTCCTCCTGATTTTGATAACAACATGGCAAGCTTATTTTGGAAATCATTTTCTTCTCTCTCAGTCCACAGGTCGTCTGTGATCCAGTCCTGGCCAATCAGACCCCCAGCTAGGCTGTGAAAGCCAGTCCCCAAACACAGTTGCTGGGCTGGCAAATGATAACCCTGTTTTTTGCCATTATGATGTGAGAGCCTATCTCTGAAAACGAAGTCAATGTGGAGGAAAGCAGAGGTGAGCAATGGAGTGAGAGAGATTCTTGGGGGCAATCGAAGCTGGCTGCTTCCGAGAGAGCACTATTCCTGGAGTTAGTTTTCTGTCACTTACAACCCAAAAAGTCCTGATGACTGTGCCCCAAACCACTAAATTTTAAAATTACACAAAGTTCGAGCCCTACGCCGGATATAGAGATTACTTAAAAAAAAAAAAAAAAAAAAAACCTTCAAAAAAAAATAGCCTCCAAAATTATTAAAACATAGTACACAGGCTAAAGTTGTTGAAAAGTGAGAAAGCAAAGAGGGTTTGTCTTTTTTTCATGTTCGACTTATTTTGCCCCAACAATTACATTTTGCCAAAATAGCTTCATAATTTATGAAACAAGTTGTTCAATCCTTTTGAGGGGTAACCACAACTCCAATCTCAAACTGAGGACAGCCTGACTAGAAGAGCCGAGATTTTAATGATCATACCACCTTATTAAATGTGTCATGCTATTTTTCCAATTTTAAAAGAATGGAAATAAAAGATATAGAAAGGGAAATTGCATATATTAAACTGTCTAATTTTTTGACCCAAATACCTTAAAAAGGTATGTTTTATAAAATATATGGCAAACTCCACTCTCCTTCTTCCACATGAATATTGTCTTATTTAATACCTAATTAAAATCTTGTCAGCTGTCGGGTGCCTGGGTGGCTCAGATGGTTAAGTGTCTGCCTTTGGCTCAGGTCATGATCCCAGGGTCCTGGGATCGAGTCCCGTATCAGGCTCCCTTCTCCTTGGGAGCCTGCTTCTCCCTTTACCTCTGTCTCTCTCTCTGTCTCTCATGAATAAATAAATAAAATCTTTAAAAAAAAAAATCTTGTCAGCTGTCATTACTAGTATTAGTAGAGGAAATTACAGCTGAGTAATTTGACAAAGAAAATACAGGCAGGACAAAGGAGATTAACTGAGTGCTTCAGAGTAAAAGAGGCCTGGGATCAAGTCTCAGCTCCGCCTCCCACTGGTGTGACTGCCTTGGGCAAGGCCCCCCCAGGCAGCACCAGTGGGGCCTGGTGTGAAGATTAAAGGAGATAATGTAGGGAAATCCCCCAGCACACTGTCAGCTCTTTCCCCTACCATCCTCCCTAATACAAGGCTTCAGTTAGTCATCATCACATGTATCTTCTGTGTGTCCGCATTCCCTTCAACGTTCAACCAAGTTATTGTGGGGCTTCTGTGAGCACCAACCATGGTTCCTGGTGTTTTACTGAGGGCAACTCTGCAAAACTCAAAGAGGTATGAAAAAATAAGCCTTGGGCTTTTGCCTTAAGATATCTATTTGAAAGATGTTTATTCTAATCAGAACTACCTCATTTCTTTGCTTTGGTTGAAAGCAAGGACAGAATACTGGTCCCTGGTATGATTTGTCTATCTATGGCCACAGATGTCTGACTGTAGGCACAAGAAAATAAGATGGTTTATCTACCTTTTCTTACTGTAAAATTTAAACAAAAGGACTTAGATGGACCCTCGTCAGTTTTAAGATTCCATGATGCTAAAATCTGCCAGGAACTGAAACCAGACCTTATTTCTGGAACTACTCAAGAGCAGGAAGAAAGTGACCAAAGTCTAAATTACTTACCTGAAAGGTGACAAGCAACAGTTCAAAGGAGTTAAGTACAGAAAACAATTATTTTATATATATATAACCCATCTGAAACT